GAGGTGGGAGAATCGCTTGACCCTGGGACGTGGAGGCTGCAGTGAGCCATGATCACACAGCTGTACTGCAGCCTAGGCAACAGGATTGAGACCCTGTCTCGAAAAAAAAAATTAAAATACTTGCTTGCCATTAGAAATAAATCATGTCTATAATTAAAACATGAAATTCATCATATTATATTTTGAGTATGTTTGCATTTGAAGTTTTTTTTAATTGGCAGATATTTGAAAATGTGATCTTTATGGCCCTGAAAGCCCTTCACAGGTGATATGAAAAAGCAAGCACTGTTTCACTTTGAATGCTCTGAAAAGCAGACACAAAGACAGGAGTCCATGTGCAAGAGAGAGACCTACTGGGGAAATGTCTGTGAAAGATAAAGGGAAGACAGCAGGAGTAAGCAAGGAGAGGCTGCAGAAAACCATGCTTATCTGACACCTGGGAAAGGAGGAAGGGAAGGATAGGAGTCTCAGACTTCAGCACAAGCTAACATAATCTTAGCCAGGCTGATGCAGAGTCCTTGAGCCAAAGCCCCATTACAGGAATCCTGCATCTTGTAAGAATGGGCCTATGTTAATACCCCACCATGGTCAGTGATGCTGTGGCAGAGAAGGTTAGAGGGTGGTAATGTTCACAGAAGCTGCAGTGTGGGGAGCTTTCAGCCAACAGTGGCTCCCCCCACAGGTTCAACCAGAGTGGAGCATGTCCATGGTCATCAAATACTCCATTCATTCTGAATAAACTGTATAATTAATAATATTCTATGAAGATAAGATATATTTCCCTTTATGATACTCATTTATTTGTAAGCATATTTGTTTAAAAGTTTATCTGCTGTGAGTGAAATCATTACTTAAAAATCATATTCTTATCCTTTTCATGAGAAAAAATCAATATCCAAAAATTCAAATAGAAAAGTAAAAGATAGTTTTTTCTTGAAATTGAGGTTCCATTAACCCTATTTAAAATAGAATACCACAAATTTAACAGAGATGAATATTATTGGATCCCAATTAAAGCAAGCAAGCACATCCTTCTGAAGCAATCAACCCTATAATTAACATGATTCTAATATAGCAGCTAAAATGTTTGTCTTATTTTCATAGTTATTCTTCTTTCTAAATTTTTTTTAAGAGACAAGGTCTCACTCTGTCTCCCAGGCTGAGGTGGCACAATCAAAGCTCACTACAGCTTCAAGCTCCTAGAATCAAGCAGTCCTCCCGCCTCAGCTTCCCCAGTAGCTGGGACTACAGGTGTGCACCACCACACTTGACTGATTTTTTATTTTTTGAAACTGGGTCTGGCCCAGGCTGGAGTATAGTGGCATGATCTCAGCTCACTGCAACTTCCGCCTCCTGGGCTCAAGTGATCCTCCCACCTCAGCCTCCTAAATTGCTGGGATTACAGGTGTGGGCCACCATGCCTGGCCAACTAACTCTTTTATTTTATTTATTTTTTATTTATTATTATTTTTTGAGTCAGAGTCTCACTCTGTTGCCCAGGCTGGAGGGCAGTGACACAATCTTGCCTCACTGCAACTTTGGCCTCCTGGTTTTAAGCAATTCTGCCTCAACTTCCTGAGTAGCTGGGATTACAGGCACATGCCACCTACCTGGCTACTTTTATACTTTTAGTAGAGACGGGGTTTCACCATGTTGGCCAGGCTGGTCTTGAACTTCCGACCTCAGGTGATTCACCTGCCTTGGCCTCCCAAAGTGCTGGGATTACTGGCGTGAGTTGGGATTATAGGCATGAGCCACCACACCTGGACTAATTTTTTGTTGTTGTTTTTGTTTTGAGATGGAGTCTTGCTCTGTCACCCAGGCTAGAGAGCAGTGGTGTGATCTCGACTCACTGCAACCTTCGCCAGGGTTCATGTGATTCTCCTGCCTCAGCCTCCCAAGTAGGTGGGATTACAGGCACCCACCACCATGGTCAGCTAATTTTTGTATTTTTAGTAGAGACAGGGTTTCGTCATATTGGCCAGGCTGGTCTCCAACTCCTGACCTCGTGATCCACCCGTCTTGGCCTCCCAAAGTGCTGGGATTACAGGCATGAGCCACCGCACCTGGCGTAATTTTTAAAAAGTTTTTGAAGAGACAGTCTTGCTATGTTGCCTAGGCTGGTCTCAATCTCCTGACCTCAAGCCATACTCTCTGCTCAGACTCCCAAAACACTGGAATTACAGGCATGAGTGACCGTGCCCAATCTTTTTTTTTTTTGAGACAGATTCTCTGTTGCCCAGGCTGGAGTGCAGTGGAGGGATCTCGGCTCACTGCAACCTCCACCTCCCAGGTTCAGGTGATTCTCCTGCCTCAGCCTCCCAAGTAGCTGGGATTACAGGCACATGCCACCAGGCCCGGGTAATTTTTGTATTTTTAGTAGAGACGGGGTTTTGTCATGTTGGTCAGGCTGGTCTCAAACTACTATTTCAGGTGATCTGCCCACCTCAGCCTCCCAAAGTGCTGGGATTATAGGTATGAGCCACTGTTCCCGGCCAGGTATTTATAGCAGTGCAAGAAGGGACGAATACACTCTCCCAAGAGTCATTCTTTAGCATACAAAAACCAGTAAATTCCTAAAGTTTTAGAAGCTTCCACGCCAGGAACTCAGGACAAAGACTAAATATTTATTTTCTTTTTTACTATACTACAGACAAATCCTTGATCTTTGACCACTGATTCCTTTTGGCAAAGAATCATAAGAGTTAAAAGACAGTGGCACATTTCTAAAACCCCATTCAATCACTAATAATCTGTCCAGTCCATCAGCCTATCATATGAAAATGTCTCCCAGGGTGTAGCCACTCAGGTTTCCATTTGATCTTTTCAGGTTTCAAAAGCAGAGTTCTTAGCAATATATATCTTCATTATTTCAGGCATCTGATATAATTAAGCTAAGAGACAATATCTTCCCTTGAGTTTCTTTGGAGATCTTAATGAATATTGGATTTCCCTCATTATATAACCCATTTACTTATTCCTTTACTCTCATCTACTATTTTTCCTTATCTCCACTCATATCCAAGCTTTTTTGGCTTTGGAAGGAGTATTTGGTTCAGCTACTGTGCTGCTCTGGGTTGCAGGCAGTAAAACTAGTGATGTGGTTCAGGACACACTACTCCAAAATATAGCACCTGAGCATCTGAGAGATCATTTTCATCTTCACCTCACTCCTTTTCCTCTGAAGCAGGTCATAAACCATAGAAAGAATACTCTGGCCATTTCCCTTGAGGCAGGCCATAAAACCCGGTGTCCTTCCCTGAAGTAGGTCATAAGACCGTCATTTGAGAGGTACCCTCCCCTTACATAGAGAAAAGGAACATTCTTACCTCTGAAGACCCCAGGACACAGAGAAGAAAGAACCTGAACAAACAGTCCATTCTAAGTTCCCCCAGTTTGTTACCATTACATCACACTCCCTTTGTGTAATCATACTCCTGCACGACTGTCCACTCTTTATCAACGCTATGACAATTGTCTTCCACCCCTTCATTGAAATTTCATTATCTACTGACTGCAGCAAGAAGATTGAAAGTCAAACATCAAACCTAGAGTACAGAGGAACTTTGTCGGAAGCTATCGACTTCTGCTTGGGTTCATCCAACTTCCACAAAGAATCCTTTGCAAGCAATCGTCCATCTCTCAAGCTCATCCAAAGAATCATTTGTGATCCTCAAAATTACTTACATTCCTCCATCTCCCTCTCCCTTACGAAAAAGTGTACATAAGCATCTGAACCTAACTGGGTTATGGGGTAATCACTCTACTGTGATTTTCTCCAGGGCACATTAATAAATTTATATGCCAGCCAGGAGCACCTGTAATCTCAGCACTTTGGGAGGCCAAGGGGGGGGGGGCAGATCATCTGAGGTCAGGAGTTCAAGACCAGCCTGGCCAACATGGTGAAACCTTGTCTCTAACAAAACTACAAAAAAAATACGCCGGGCTTGTTGGCATGTGCCTGTAATCCCAGCTACTCAGGAGGCTGAGGCAGAAGAGTCACTTGAATCCGGGAGGTGGAGGATGCAGTGAGCTGAGATAGTGCCACTGCACTCTGGCCTGAGTGACCGAGAGAGACTCCGTCTCGAAAAAATAAAAAATAAAATAAATTCGTATGCCTTTTTCTTCTCTTCATCTTTTCTTTTATTTCACTACAGTGAACCTTCAGAGGGCAGAGCTTTCCCTTCACCGCTACAAAATGAAGGCAAGAAACTCAATTTTAGGGAAAAATATATAATCATTAATTATATACGTATGTACTGTGAGTTATGCAGCCACAGACAACTGCTGGACAACAAAACCCACAAATGTGCCACACTAATTCAGTAGTCTGTTATTACGCTTTCAGTCATGTGAAAAACATAGGTTTACGTGTGCGTGTGTGTAAAATATATTTGCTAAGCCCTGGTCCACTCACCTTACCATTTACATTAAATGAAGCAGCACACTATGATTATGCCCATCATTAAACTGTCAGAACATTAAAAATCCGTGTATTGTTTAAATTAGGCTTAAGTTTTCTAAAAGCAAGGGACCACACACACGCACGCACACACACACACACACACACACAAAGAGCATGGCTTCAGAGTTCTAGCAGAGACAATACCTAAATGGTTATTAGTATTCTAGAAGTTTCAGTGAGTGAAGGGCGCTAAAATGCAGTTTGAAAACCAAAACCGTGGCATATCCAATGTGGTATCGTAATGTTGCTCCTCAAGTCTTTAAATCTTGTAATCATTGCTGGTCCTAAAACGATCCTGTCAACCGTGTTCATTTTGATAGCGTTGCGTCTTTGTGAAAGGTCGCTCAGCAGCCGCAGGCCACCAAAAGGCAATTCGCGGCCCTCTGCAGTAGTACCTGCACTGAGCGGCCTTCCGGGAGAGGTAAGCAGCAGACTTGAAGGAGGAGCCGAGAGCGCGGCTGGGGACCCGCCCACGCTAGCCCTCAGCCCCCTCGCCCGGCCCCTCCGCGGAGCGTGCAGCAGCCCGTGCGCCGGCGCAGGCCCCGCCTCCTCGCTGGGCCCCGCCTCGCCGCCACCACGGGATCCGGGCCCCGGGCACCCCGCCCTCGTCCTCTCGTGGAGCCGGAGGCGACCGTAGCATGGAGGGGGAGAGTACGTCGGCAGTGCTCTCGGGCTTTGTGCTCGGCGCACTCGCCTTCCAGCACCTCAACACGGACTCGGACACGGTGAGCCGAGGGACGGGGCGGGGTCCGGCGTGGCCTGGGAAGAGCCCTGCGCGCGGCCTGCCTCCCCGCTGTTGCCCCGGTCCCCCGCCCGCTCCCCCGACGCCGCCGCGCCTCCTCCCTGCCGTCGCGGCTCTGCCTTCTCTCCCCCTCAGCGGTCCCTAAGGTGCCTCGTGCCCACGAAGTCTTTTCTCCAGCATTAGCCCTCCCTCTGCTATCCTCTGTTGATTTCCCTTTTCCGACCAGTGTCCCACACGCTCCCATCTTTCCTCGGCGCCCCTTTCGCTGTGGAAACTTGGGCGTGAAAAGATGGAAAGTTCACGGAGCGTCTTCCCGCTGCTCTGCGGAGCCTGCGGTAAACTTTCCGTTCCTCGCGACGTCCGACAGGCGTTTGCAAAGCCAGGCGGACTTTGTCAGGCAGAGCAGCGCCTGTGCGTGTTTGTTGAGATGGTAGGATGGTAAGGGAATAAAAATAGATGTTAGTGGATGAAACAGCTTAATCTGGTATATCAGATATCTTTTTATTTGCGTTATTAAATTTGTAAAACAGTTTTAAAAAGTACGTTGCCTATTTTCTGAAAGTTCTATGAAATTAAAGAAACACTGTAAAACGTTGAGCTCGGAAGTGGTTAATGTCCCGTAGTACTTTGAGTAACTTGCAGAAAGAACGTCTAAGCATCTAAAATAACCTCCCTGCTGTGTGGTACAATTCGGAGGATACCCTACTGAACAATGCCTAGTAATTTCTGCTAAGTACATTTTAAGATAACAACACCTGTTTTACTCTCAAAATTGCCTTAATATAGGCCGGGCGCGGTGGCTCACGCCTGTAATTCCAGCACTTTGGGAGGCCGAGGTGGGTAGATCACCTGAACCCACGAGTTGGAGACCATCCGGGACAACCTAGTGAGACCCGGTCTCTACGAAATCTAAACATTACAAAATTGCTTTTTAGCACAATCCTAATAAAGGTTGGAATTGATATGTTTTATGTATATAATTTCAGATAACCTTACACATTAATACCTAATAAAAACAAATATATGACCATTTAAAATATATGTGTAGCCGTGGAAATTATTTTGGAATGTCTTTAGTGTAGATAGAGTGGGACCTTAATTCCTCGGTAGCTGAAAGGATTAGCCCTTGGGAAATACCTGGGTGCTAGGGAGGCCCCTGTTTCTCAGATCTTTTTCCTAAAGTCTTTAAAGGGTGCACTTGGGTTGCCCCTGCTTCCCTTCCCTGAGTTCGTCTTTGGGAGTATCAAAATCAAGAACACTAGATTCTGGATATCCCCCCGCGTGATTCCAGTAAAGACTCACGTTATGGAAAAATCCTTTTTTACTTTTAGGGGAAAACATTATTAATTATTAAGAATATAAAATATTTCTGTAATCCCAGCAGTTTGGGAGGTGGAGGTAGGAGGATCATTTGAGCCCAGGAGTTCAAGACCGGCCTGGGCAACATAAGGAGACCTCATGTCTACAAAAATTTTTAAAAATTAGCCCGGTGTGGTGGCACATGCCTGTAGACCCAGCTACTTGGAAGGCTGAGGGGGGAGGATTGCTTTGAGCCCGGAAGGTCAAAGGAGCAGTGAGCAGTGATTGCACCACTGCACTCCAGCCTGGGTGACGACAGAGCTAGACCTCTTCTCAAAAATAAAAAAAAAAAAGATATAAAATCTTCATTGTCAAGCACATTGGGTCTTTAAGTGTACCTAGAGAAATTAAATTCTCCAAAACTCAGATGAATTACCACTGGGGTGGCAGAATACAAGTAGATTAAAAGAATTGGGCTCACAGCACTCCTTTTAGAAAGGAGACTCTGAAATTGAATTTTAATCTTTCATATTGTGCATGAGTTTTAATCAGAAAACACTAATCATGTCATTTCGTACCTTAGAAGCTTTCTGTAACTCCCAGAAGCACATGTGGTTAAATCCAGAGTAATCATTCAGGGTGTCCCATTATTGGCTCGCTCTGATTTACCTTTGATTTCCTTCTGCTCCAAGGCATAGTGCTTTACTCATTCCTCGGTGTGTGCTCATTTCTGGCTTTAAGTCTTGTATGCTTCCAAGTGTGCCGAGTTCTCCATGCTCTGCTTACACAAATACTGCCCACACCGCTTTAGTCTAATCTGTACTTGCCTCCCCAGGGCCAACTCTAATTATTTCAGGCCAGGCTAATCTCTCCCTTCCTCTCCTCTTTATTTCTACTTTTTTTCTTTTGAGGCAGAGTTTCACTCTATGGCCTGGGTTGGAGTGCAGTGGCATGATCACAGCTCACTGCAGCCTCAACCTCCTGGGTTCAGGTGATCCCAAGTAGCTGGGACTACAGGCATGTGGCACCATGCCTAACTAATTTTTCTCGTATTTTTTGTACAAATGGAGTTTTACCCTGTTGCCCAGGCTAGTACTGAACTCCTGGGCTCAAACCATCTGCCCAGCTTAGCCTCCCTGTGCTAGGATTACAGGTGTGAGCCACCGTGCCTGGCCTCTTCTCATTTTTATTTAACTCTTCATCTTTCCCAAGTAAACTAGAAGCATCTCAGATCTTTCATGTGCCCCCGACTGGTAGCACATACTTGTATACATAGTAAAATACTCAGAAAATACTGGTTAGTTAAGTGTCTGAACAGTAATTCTATCAGTGTATTCTGTATACTGCCTCTTTATCTTCATAGGAAGGTTTTCTTCTTGGGGAAGTAAAAGGTGAAGCCAAGAATAGCATTACCGATTCCCAAATGGATGATGTTGAAGTTGTTTATACAATTGGTGAGTTATTTATTTCTTTTATATTTGAGTCATTTGTGTCTCCCATATTTGATAGTGTATGCTGAAAGGGGTCAGCATAAGTTATTGTTTTTAAATTAAGAAATATAGATGCTGGCCAAGGTGGCTCACACCTGTAATCCCAGCACTTTGGGAGGCTGAGGTGGATTACCTGAGGTCGGGAGTTCGAGACCAGCCTTGCCAACATGGTGAAACCCGTCTCTACTAAAAATATAAAGATTAGCCAAGTGTAGTGGTGCATGCCTATAATCCCAGTTACTTGGGAGGCTGAGGCCCAAGAATTGCTTGAACCCGAGAGGCAGAAGTTGCAGTGAGCCAAGATCATGCCACTGCACTCCAGCCTGGGCAACAGAGCGAGACTCTGTCTCAAAAAAGAAAAATAAATTAAGAAATATATATTGATTTTAAAATAATTTAAAAGGATATGTTGTACTCATTTTGCAGTTAAAATTATGACCATGGACTGGTCTAAAGTAAGAAATAGTATGAGAGTTAGGAAGCAGATAAGATTACTGCCAGGGAAACAAGGATGAAACACTTGCTGTTTAGTTGGCAGGAAGATGACCCAGCAATAGGAAGACCAAGGAAAAAGATAAAATGTTAAATGCTGCAGAAAAGTTGGAAGATGAGAACTGAGAAAATGCGGTAATTGGATTATTAGATGACTGAAAACCCTCAGTAATTTCTGGAGTGTAATGGGGAAGAGACCAGGCTGCAAAGGGTTTGAGGGGTGGATGGTAAAGCAGTTACAGCTGGTGGCAGCTTTTCTGTCAGGGAAAAGCAGGGGAGAACCTTTAAAATGTATAGGGAAAAAAATGTTTAAAAGAAATAAAATGTATAGGAAGTTTTCTGATTGTCTAACATAGTTTTTCTCTATATGTGTATATATATTTTTAAACAAAATTGGTAGTGTACCTTACAAAAGGTTTAGCATCATATTGTGTCATGTTCACTTTCCAGTGTTGCATAATGCATAATCCTCTACAATATCATTTTTCTTTTTTTTTTTTTTTTGAGGCAGAGTCTCACTCTGTTTCCCAGCCTGGAGTGCAGTGGTGCTATCTCAGCTCACTGCAACCTCTGCCTCCCGGGTTCAAGCGATTCTCCTGCTTCAGCCTCCTGAGTATCTGGGATTACAGACGTGCGCCACCATGCCCAGCTAATTTTTTGTATTTTTATTAGAGATGAGGTTTCATCATGTCTCAAATTCCTAGGCTCAAGCAGTCCTCCTGTCACGGCCTCCCAAAGTGTTGGGATTACAGGCATGAGCCACTGTACTGGGCCCATCATTCTTTCTGCTGGCTGCATATATCCTATTGTATAGACGTACCATAATTTATAATTTATTTAACCGTCTAAGAATGATTTTCTGTGTTTTTGTTAAACAGTATTACCATGAACATTTAGTATTGTACGTATCTTTGTGCCTTTGAGTGTATATTTGAAAGTCACATTCCTGGAGGTAGACTAGCTGATTGCCTTTTGGAAAACTTAGGCCATTTTAGGCTTCTCCACGGTATCTAAAAGTGCCTAGGTCCCCATACTCTTTATTTTTTTTGAAATGGAGTCTCACTCTGTCGCCCAGGCTGGAGTGCAGTGGTGGGATCCCAGCTCACTGCAACCTCTGCTTCCCAGGTTCAAGTGATTCTCCCTGCCTCAGCCTCCTGAGTAGCTGGAATTACAGGTGACTGCCACCATACCCAGCTAATGTTTGTATTTTTAGTAGAGACAGGATTTCACCATGTTGGCCAAGCTGGTCTCGAACTCCTGACCTCAGGTGATCCGCCTGCACCGGCCTCCCAAAGTGCTGGGATTACAGGCCTGAGCCACCATGCTTGGCCCCCATGCTCTTGCCAACACTAGGTATTATCAAATTTTTTAATCGTTGCCAATTTGGTAAGTGAAAAGATAGCATTTTAATTTGCGTTTCGTAATTCAAAAGAGGTTAAGTATTTTTTCACACTTTTTACTTTTTTTCTTGGCCTTTTTATTTGAAAAGGATAGGCCTATCCTATTCTTTGGCTGCATTTGTATTATTTTGCTTTTAGTAATTTGTAATCACATTACTTAAGGAAACTGGGCTTTTGTCATATGTTTTATACATATGCTAATGCAGTTTATAATTTTTTTTCTGCCAATAAATACTTTAATGAGAACCGAGGTCTATAACATATATAGCAGTAACCACCCTGGCCTATGCCTTCTGCTCTAGCCCAAGTCTGGGTCCCAACCAATTACATTTAACCCACATTTGGAAAGCAGGCCATTTTCAGTGTCATCTGTCAGTATCCATCTTCATAGAACGTACCAGTCTGAGGCTAGAGTCTCAATGTTAACACTTTCTCTCAGGGAAAAGTTAACATGGTAACCCAAACATATAAATAACTTTGAACCATCCTACTGTTCTTCCATCAGGAGGCCCTTAGGAGACCAACAGTTTGGTAAACACTTAAAACTTTGCCAAAATACATTAGAACACGGGAAAAGGGAAAAGCAGTAGAAAGGCTGGCAGGGCTGGGCTCACGTATAATTCAGTCCTTAGAGTTAAAGCCTCTTGAGCTGCTCATATGTAATTTAAAAAATAATGTTCCAGGGTCCAAGCCGAAGCCACTTTGGCCAAAATCCTTTATAGAGTGCAAAAAAGCCCTCATGTTTTCACATCTTTAAAATACCATCCAAAGTACACTTACAGAGATCCACGTATCCCACGATTGCCCTCTGGTTCATCATACGAGTGCCTACCACATCACCCGGATTAGAGGCAAGAGGTCCAGCTAAACTACATGTAAAGCTGGAAACAAAGCAAGTTAAAGTTGTGTCTTCCATCATTCCTGACAATATTAAATACTTCTTAGTAATATCATAGACTGTAGCTCTACTCCCACAACGATGGCAGCATGCTGAACAGTTGGAACCACACCCCTCCACAGACCCCTGGTGCCTTTCTGTTGGTACATATCAATGAAGCTGCCAATCATGTTCTCTTGGAACAAACTTCCTTGGGCCTGCATTCGAATCTTTAGAACATCGGTGGGATTGGCTATAGTGGAAAATACCACTCCTGACACCACCCCACAGATCATGTTAATTGAAAGAGTTTCATCTTCTAAACGTTCTACAAATAATTGCTTCAAGCTTTGGTAAATCCCAATTTTAATGGTGCCATATGATGCTTGTCTTCACAAACAGAAGCAATTCCTTAATACAGAGCCAATACACCTTCCTCTTTGTAGATCCAAAACAAAGCTTGAAACATCCGTCTATATGTTATTTCTCTGAAACAGACATCAATGCTTTGGCCTTGAACCTACCTGAAGTGTGTTTTGGTAAGGTCCATGGGGAATGTTCCAAACTCAGCAATGATAGAGGCAAGGCCGCCATATACAAAGGGTTTCCAATTCAGACCAGACATCTCTTGGCTGTGGTACTTTGCTGCTGCTGCTCAGGCTCATCGGGGGACTGGGAAACTGAGGCTCCCACAGTCAGAAATGCCACTGCAGTGCCAACCCGGAAGCATTGAAACCCTGCAGTTTATAATTTTACTGTAGTTTTTTTTTTTTTTTTGGTTCAGACACTTGAGTTTTAAAAGCAAGCCCTTTATAGCAATACAAGATTATTTTTTAAAAATTAAAAAATAAAAGCAAGCCCTTAGAGCGTATTTTTTTCCCCTAATTGAAATTAGCGTGCCACCCAAAGTATCTAACATAGTTCTAGGCATTCGATTTAATTAAGCAAATGTTTGCTGAGCAACTACATTGTGGTATTAGGTACAGTGCTAAGCTCTAAGGTATTTGCTCAAATTATTTTAAATGTTGGATTATCACAGATGTTTAAACACGTAAAATCCAAGATCAACATATCATTCCATTGCTTTGGTTAAGAAGATTTTCATCATTTTAAATTCCTTTAACAGGTGATTTTATTAATTGGGTAAATTTAGAGCACAGCATTTTTAGAACTCAGTGAAAATGTGGCAACTTTGAATTTATCTTTTGTGTTGGACTTGTTAGACCATTATTTAGAGGAAATATAGCATTGTGGTTCCAGGTGAGGTTCTGGGTTTTGAACTCTGGCCCTACCACTGGATTGGGCAAGCCACTTGTCTCTCTTTGCCTGTTATATCATCTTTGAAAGGGGAATAATGATAGTATATGTCTCAGATTTGTTGTGAGGATAAACATCAGATGATCAGTGGTAAGATACTTCCTGGCATGAGGTAAAGGTTCAATATGCAGTATTCAAATGATTGTGAATTGAATTAATGTAATCATAACTAAAAAATCCTTTTCTTCCAGACATTCAGAAATATATTCCATGCTATCAGCTTTTTAGGTAAGTAGTAGTGCTAGTAAGTAAATGATCCATTGTGAAAATTACTCTCTGCAAGTGAAATAGTTTTTAAAACTAACAGATTATCTTAGTTATCACCTATACATGGTGGTACTGAGTAGAATGGAAAGTTTTTTTTAAATAGCTGAAAAAAATCACTTGAGTATTGTCTACCCTAGTAGTTCTTTCTCTGTATTTATATTACTTTAAGCTGATCTTCATTACCTTTCCCAAGCACCAGTTTACCTTGAGAATTGCTTTTCCTTCTCACACCCAGTCACCTCATTGCATATTATAAACTCAGTAAATGAAGTGTTCTTATACATCATCAATAGCAGCCCTTTTTTCTACCCTTTTATTTCAGCATATTTTAGCAACTGGTTCCTTATTTATATTTTTTAGTGTTATCTTTTATCTGTTAGCTGGTCATGTTCTTTGTTTTTCTTTTTGAGACAGGGTCTCACTCTGTCACTCAGGCTGGAGTGCAGTGGCGTGAACACAACTCACTGTAGCCTTCATCTTCTGCGCTCAGGTGACCCTCTCCACCTCAGCCTCCCAAGTAGCTGGGACCACAGGCACCAGCCACCACACTCGGCTGATTTTTGTATTTTGGTAGAGACAGGGTTTTGTCATGTTGCTCAGGCTGGTCTCAAACTCCTGGACTCAAGCCATCCTCCTTCCTCGGCTTCCCAAAGTACTGGGATTACAGGTGTGAGCCACTGCACTCAGCTGGTTATGTTCTTTAACCTGTTTCCTATTGCTTTTCTAGGATGAACGCTTGCAGTCAGTCCTACAGATAGTCATAGTACTGTTAACTCTAATACATTGTGTATTTTTTAGCTTTTTATTGAGTATAGCATACACGTAGAAAAGTACACAAATAAATGAATTTTCACAAAGCAAACATATGTAATCATGTAACCATAGCAATGTGTAATTTTAATGAAATAGTTTTATGATTTATATAAACTATGCAAGAAAAATCAGCATAAACAGCCTGGGCAACGTGGTGAAACACTGTCTCCACTAAAAATACAAAAATTAGCCAGGAGTGATGGCATGCGTCTGTAGTCCCAGCTACTGGGGAGGCTGAGGCAGGAGGATCACTTGAACTCAGGAGACAGAGGCTGCAGTGAGCTGAGGTCATGCCACTGCACTCCAGCCTGGGTGACAGAGCAAGACCCTGTCTCCAAAAAAAAAAAAAAAAAAGAAAAAGATCAGCATAACTATCTTACAGACTACGTACTATACACATCTTTAAAGTTATGTAAGAATTACAGTGGAGCATATGGTTAAGGTGAGAAATAACTGTAGGAGGAGAGCAGAAAAAAGAAGCTTGGCGTGGTCTTAAACTGCTATACCAAGAAAAGGTATAGCTTCTACACTGCCTTATGTGTAATGGATATGCAAAAATATTTGTTAGATAACGGAGGAACTCTTAGTGGAGACTCATAAGAAGGACTTTATTGAAGGATCTTCTGGACCAACAAAGGATTTAGAGGAGGAGCAAAAAGTGATTCAGTACCTTTTTCAACCACATTAATAATTAGACTAACTTAATAGAGGCTGAGACGTGAAGAAACCATCTATTTCAGTGATGAGAAACCAATGCCTGAGTCTTTTAGCTCTTACAGGATTAAAGCGGAGTGGAAAGGCATTAGGAGAGGCATGTGAAATACTTCTCATTCAGAGGGTAACTACATACGTCATTAAACAACACAATAATAGGCCTGAAAAGTTCATGATTTAACCAAGGCCACAGATCTAGTTAATGGCAAAAATTAGAAGAATAAGGATTTCTTGAGCTCTAATCCAGCATCATACTATGCAGTTTCTTCCTCTTCCTGCTCTGATACAGAGGTTGCTAAAATAGAGCCCCATGATGTATTTTTATATAGCCCTCAATCTGAGACTGTTTACTACTGTTTTTTTTTTTTTTTGGGAGACAGAGTCTTGCTCTGTCACCAGGCTGGAGTGCAGTGGCGCACTCTTGGCTCACTGCAACCTCTGCCTCCCGGGTCCAAGTGATTCTCCTGCCTCAGCCTCCAAGTAGCTGGGACTATAGGCAGGTGCCACCACGCCTGGCTAATTTTTTTGTATTTTTAGTAGAGACAAGTTTCACCATGTTGGCCAGGATGATCTTGATCTTTTGACCTCGTGATCCGCCCGCCTCGGCCTCCCAAAGTGCTAGGATTACAAGTGTGAGACACCCATGCCTGGCCTTGTTTACTACATTTTTTAAGGGTTGTAAAAAAAAGGAAAAATATGCAATAGAGACTGGATGTGGCTGTCAAAGCCTGAAATATTTTCTATACAATCCTTTACAGAAAGTGTGTTAACCCTGCACTAAATACATTGTGATGCAGACTTTTCCACTGACATACACTGATTTGGTTACCTCAGAAATCTGGAGGAAGTACCTCCGAAATAGCCTACTGAAACTTAGTGTATGGATGGATAGATAGAGTTTTTTTTCTTTCTTTCTTTTTTTTTAGACAAGGTCTCTGTTGCCCAGGCTGGAATGCAGTGCTGTGATCTCAGTTCACTGCAACCTCCCAACTCCAAGGTTCAAGCGATTCTCCCACTTCAGCCTCATGAGTAGCTGGGACCACAGGTGTGCACCGCCATGCCTGGCTTTTTTTTTCTTTTTTGTATTTGTAGAGATGGGGGTTTGCCATGTTGGCCAGGCTGGTTTCAAACTCCTGACCTCAAGTGATCCACCCACCTCAGCCTCCCAAAGTGCTGGGATTATAGGCGTGAGCCACTGTGCCCGGCTTCTGAAACTTAAAGTCACTTTTTAAAAAATTATGCAGGTGGGTCACATCTATAATTCCAGCACTTTGGAAGGTGAGATGACTGAATCACTTGAGCTCAGGGAGTTGGAGACCAGCCTGGGTAACATGGCGAAACTGCCTCTCTACAAAAAATACGAAACAATTAGCGGGGTGTGTTGGCGTGCCTGTAGTCTCAGTTTCTAGGGAGGGTGAGGTGAAAGGATTGCTTGTGAGCCGAGATCCAGCCCAGGTGACAGAGCGAGACCATGTCTCAAAAAAAATTATGCAGTTTGACATGACTTCTGCATGATACATCAGTTTCTACATAAAATGCCACCGCATTCATCTTCTCCCCAGAAACTTCACATAAACCTAGTGCTTCCACAGATGATGTGCACTGTTATCCTGTTGCTAATCTTACCCTAATATACTGCTTTATGCTCCGATTTGAGCTCAGAAGTGGACCATTCTAGGGAAATATAGGAATAAATTCTTGTATTTAGAGAATAATTTCTTGTATTTTGATATTGGAACTGTAAGTAGGCAAATACTGGAAATACAATTAGACGACAGAGTCTGCTCTGTTGCCCAGGCTGGAGTGCAGTAGAGCCATCTCATCTCACTGGAAGCTCTGCCTCCCAGGCTCAAGTGATCCTCCCACCTCGCTCCCTCTAGAAACTGGGGCTACAGGCACACACCACCACGCCCCAGCTAATTTTTTTATTTTTTTGTAGACAGGGTTTTGCCACATTGCCCAGGTTGGTCTTGAACTTCTGGGCTTGAGCCATCTACCCCCCTCAGCCTCCCAAAGTGCTGGGATTACAAGTGTGAGCCACTGTGCCCTGGCAAAAATTATTTATAAAGGATTTTGTATAACATATTTAACCATCATAGAAAATATTGTTGATCTTAATGAATGGTAAAAAGAAGAAAATATTATTTGCAGTCTCTGTTATTGGAAGAGAAAGAAAGCTGGAAGTAGAATCTTTTAGAATTATCTTTTAATTCTTCCTACATCTTGGATATTCCAACTCCTGAACAAAGACTACTATTCTAAACCAAACAAAACCTATTCCCTTCCCCCAGCCCAAAAAACCCAGCCACCTCCTAAAATACATAGCTTTTGTAACTAGCAGTGAATAATAAATTGACCTTTTGTTATTGTGCTTCATTACTGGTTATACATTCTTTCATATATATCAATGTTGTAAAAAATATAAATGAGTAAACTGAATGAATTGTGAACCGGCTATGTGAACTTACATTATAATACCTGTATTTCATGGATAGTTTATTGTTTTAAGTTCAAAAAAAACGATTCCCAAAACTTGTCTCTTAAGTTACACCTTTTTCCTTTTCATTGCTTTATGGACTTTATGTTTCTACCACTTTAAGTCAGTTAATTTGAGAATTTTCTCTACTATTTGTTTTAGGACTTCATCTGACGAGCAAATAGGTATATGGGCTTTGGGTATTGGGTTAGGAATAACTAAAATTTAAAATACTAATAAAATTATTTATATTTTTAGCATATTTGAAATACCTTTAATTTTGGCTTTTACAGCTTTTATAATTCTTCAGGTGAAGTAAACGAGCAAGCACTGAAGAAAATATTATCAAATGTCAAAAAGGTATTCTCTAATGTATCTTTCCTTTTTTTGGTATTACTTGCATTGTTTTTGGTTCTTAAAAACACACAGTACTTTGACAGAATTTTTAAGCAGTGTTTGACACCATGGTATCCTGTAAAGTAGGTAAGAAAAGGTTTGTTCTTCCCAGAAATTCAAAGCGGTTGCTCTGAAAATAAAATTAGTAATTAAAAATATTAATTTTGTTCTCATCCTTTGACTAATATAATTAACATTTATCTCTTTCTCTTGTGTTTCCACCATACCCCTTCCCGCTACCATTTATTCTGTGACCTAATCAGTTCTGTTATTTTACTTGGCTGTAGTTTTTTGGGTTTTTTGCTTTGTTTTTTTGAGATGGAGTCTTGGCTTTATCACCCAGGCTGTAGTGCAGTGGCATGATCTCGGCTCACTACAACCTCTGCCTCCTGTGTTCAAGCGATTCTCCTGCCTCAGCCTCCCGAGTAGCTGGGATTACAGGCACCCGCCACCACACACCGTGCCTGGCCTCAGTTATTATTTTTGATAGATACTGCAGGGATGTTTCCTATATAGCACTGAATTTGGATCCTCTACAACATACTTCGTGTTTGGTTAAAAGTTGTTGAATGATCAAAATGGATTTTTCCCCCAAATACAAAATTTTTTCAAGGCATTACTTTTTCTCTTAAAACTTTGATTTGAAAATAAAAATAGATTAATTGAAAGATGTTTCTTGGCTGGGCACGGTGGCTCACGCCTTTAATCCCAATACTTTGGTTGGCTGAGGAGGGTAGATCACAAGGTCAGGAGTTCCAGACCAGCCTGACCAACGTGGTGAAACCCCATCTCTACTAAAAATAGAAAAAAAAAAAAAAGGCTGGGTGTGGTGGCGCATGCCTGTAATCCCAGCTACTCAGGAGGCAGAGGCAGGAGAATCAGTTGAACCCGGGAGGCAGAGGTTGCAGAGCTGAGATCATGCCATTGCACTCCAGCCTGGGCAACAGAGCCAGACTCTGTCTCAAAAAACGAAAAAAAAAAGATGTTTCTTTCAAAAAATGTGTTTGGCTGAAAATGATTGTTCCCCCCCAATCAATTTGAGTATTTAAAAATGTACCTATAAAAATACCTTATTTTTAAAAACTAATTTTAATTTCCTCAATTTAAATGTGCAGATATAAAATTTAGTTGCTGAAACTCATAGATCTGTAAGCAAAGTGGTTGGTTTTCTCTTTGTCTTAAGTAAAGGAGAATTATTTTCCGAGTTAAAAAAAGGTCTAGTAATATAAACACATTTGCTTAGTATGTTGTAGTTTACAAAACCCTTTAATCTGATCTTAATCTTGAAACCAATTTTGTCAGGTAGGTGATATCATTCCCATATAAATTTTAGGTAAAAGCTGTAGGGTTCAGTTTAACTTATTTAACAACCAAGTGTCCATACAGGCAATTAATTTGTTTTCAGGGAGTGATTGCCTTTTAAGTGAATCATTGGCATTGATATTTTTTTCATTTAAATTTTGACTAAAGATTAAGATTGCCAGATAGCAAATGCCATAAAAGAAACTACAGGAAGTCAAGAATTTACTTCTCCCTTTTAATCTATATTGATCAAAATTATACGCTTTTAAATGAATGGAAAGTAAGTCAGTTTGTATATTTTTTTAAGCATATGATTAAGTGTATTCTTTGTTTATATATGCCCAAAAATCTTTCTAAATATTAAGAAAACCATTTTAAGGTTGTTTATTTTATTTAATTATAGTAGTAAGACATATTGTAACTATTAAGATATACATTCTTTTTTTTCTGTATTTCAGAATGTGGTAGGTTGGTACAAATTCCGTCGTCACTCAGATCAGATCATGACGTTTAGAGAGAGGCTGCTTCACAAAAACTTGCAGGAGCATTTTTCAAACCAAGACCTTGTTTTTCTGCTATTAACACCAAGTATAATAACAGAAAGCTGCTCTACTCATCGACTGGAACATTCCTTATATAAACCTCAAAAAGGGTAAATGTTGGCCAGTCACTGGCTGTATTAAACTAATAGAAAAATGTAGTATTTAGTAGTTTTTGCAGCTTACAAAGTGTTCTCATATATTGTCGCATCAGATTGTCACAATAACCCTCAGAAGTAGACCTTACCATCTGTTACTTTATAGGTGGGAAAATAATGGTCAGATAAGGAAATGAGAAGCCTAGTGTGGAATGATGACTTGTATTCTGGCACTGAAGATTTGCTCTTATTTACTATTTAAGGTGGAAAAAAACTTTATATTGATTGATAAAGGGTATAATTTAGAATTTAAGCCTAGATACTTGAGTAGCTTTTCTATAACTGAGCAAAGAAACAAAGTAGCTTTTGATGGTCCACTAAAATGAGTCTAACCAGGGACTTCCTACAGGTTGTATATAGTAAACTACATTTTCATAGAATATGAGAATTACGTTAAAAGAGTACCAACTAAGAATAATTTTATTGTTCATGGAAGATAGGGTAAATCTCAATGTTAATACTGCCTTATTTACACATGTACTAATCCAAGGAGCCATTAAACTGCTTTTCCACACCATTATACTAAGCACATTTGACAGCTTTACATGTCACCTGGGCCTAGTGTGGTGACTCACACCTGTAATCCCAGCACTTGGGAGGCCAAGGCAGGAGGATCACTGAGCAACATAAGGAGACCTCATCTCTACAAAAAACTTAAAAATTAGTCGGGTGTGGTGATGGGCACCTGTAGTCCCAGCTACTTGGGAGGCTGACGCAAGAGGATTGCTTGAGCCCGGGAGGTTGAAGCTGCATTATTGAGCCATGATTGCACCACTCCATTGCAGCCTGGGAGACAGAGTGAGATGCTGTCTCAAAAAAAAAAAAAAGAAAACAGTTGTCTCAAGTCAGTAAATTCTATTTTGGATAAGCAGTAAAGAATGGGTTTGGGGGAGCATATTTTTTAAATCTTGTAGGGGACAAGTAGTCTATTCTGGCAGGTAGATACTAATCTTTCTTTTCATTCTAAATTTATAAAGTTTTATTTTGTCAGACTTTTTCACAGGGTACCTTTAGTGGTTGCCAATCTGGGCATGTCTGAACAACTAGGTTATAAAACTGTATCAGGTTCCTGTATGTCCACTGGTTTTAGCCGAGCAGTACAAACACACAGGTAAGATTCAACTGCTTTCTCACAAAACTTCTATTCACCTTTGAAATTAATTTTCTTATTTCTCAAACAACAGCAGAATAAAAATGAAAGGGAAAACTAATCCATTACTCAAGTAAACTAGGCTGTTTTTTTTTTTTTGGGAGAC